AGTTCAAGACGCCTGGGCTACATGGTGAGTTTCAGGTCAGGCTCAACTACATAGTGAAATCCTGTCTCAACCCCCCCACCCACCCAAATTTACCAACAAAGAAAAGCCTAGGTCCTGGTGGCTTTACTGCTGAATTCTACAAAACATTTAGAGAAGAACTACTGCCACTACTTTTGAAACATTTCAGTGAAATTGAAAGGGAAGTGATACTTCCAAATTCATTCCTAGAAGAAAGTGTTTGCTCAACTACATAGTGAAATCCTGTCTCAACCCCCCCACCCACCCAAATTTACCAACAAAGAAAAGCCTAGGTCCTGGTGGCTTTACTGCTGAATTCTACAAAACATTTAGAGAAGAACTACTGCCACTACTTTTGAAACATTTCAGTGAAATTGAAAGGGAAGTGATACTTCCAAATTCATTCCTAGAAGAAAGTGTTTCTTTGATTCCAAAAGCAGGGAAAGACTAAACCAAGAAAGAGCATTACAGGCCAATCTCACTAATGAACATAGATGCAAAAATCCTCAATAAGATACTGGCTAAGAGAATACAGAGGGTTATCAAGAAGATCATACACCCTGACCAAGTTGGATTTATCCCAGAGATGCAAGGATTGTTCAACATATGTAAATTAATAAATGTAACAAAGTCAAGGACAAAAACTATATGATCATCTGAGTAGATGCAGAAAAAGCATTTGACAAAATTTAACAGCCACTCATGTTAAAAACCCTGCAGAAAATTGGAATAGATGGTCTTCATATCAACTTGATAAAGGATATCTATGAAAAACCCATAGCCAATATAATACTAAATGTCAAAAATTGAAAATCTTCATAATAAAATCAGGAACAAGACAAGAACATGCATTAAAGAAAAAAAGTTATATAAAGTTGGATCTTCAGGTAAGAAACCAAAAGTGTAAATAAGGACCAAAATGGAATGTAGATACTGAGAATTAGGAAGAAAATGTTAAAATGGAAAGGGGAACAAGCGAAGGAGAAAGGGGCCAAGAGAAGGAAGGGAAAAGAAAAAAAAGAATGGAAGGAAATAAATAGAAATAAAACTTTTGTAAATGAGGGGGGGAATGAGGAAAAAATTTAAGATATGTATAAAAAAGAGAAAGATATATTATGTACAGGTACAAATTCCCTATGATGTATGTGATCAATATGTATGAAAAATATATACTAATAAAAAATAGAAAAAATTTGGACTGTCAGCCCTTCTTCAACCTCTTAAGCATAAGATATCAAAATCCAGGGGAAGGTGAGAGGTAGGAAGGAAAAAAAAAAGCAGACATGGAAATCATAACTAAAAGATATACCCTGTAAAAAGACTGCAACTGGGCCAGGAATTTAGCTCAGTGGCACAGCGCCTGCCTTGCAATTTCATGGTCCTGAATTCAATCCCCAGTGTGGGGAGTGGGGGGGGGGAACTTCCAGGACTTAGCCAAAGCAACCTCATGCCAATATTCTTTGGCTAAAGTTAAAACTGTTCCTACTAGACTCACTTCTAAAAGGCTATAAATCGGCTCCATTAAGAAAGCAAGGTATAGGAGCCTGGCTATGAAATAAGGACTGTCCCAATGTCAAAAGTCCTTGGCCAGATTCATACTCCTTCCCTGCCTGACTCATCACTAGAAGGCCATAAAGTGGCCCAATTAAGAGAGTAAACAAAAACTTAAGCAAATCCAGAGAATGTTTAAATCATCTATTCAAAAAAATTTAAAAAACATGTGGTCAATGGACTGGTACCCTTGTTTTGAGGGGGATGGATGGACAGTTTTATCCCTAACTTTTCACCCCCTCAAGAAAAGTATAAGTATGGGGCCAGGGATTTAGCCCAGTGGCTCTGCTACCTGCCTCGCAAGCCCAAGGACCTGAGTTTGATCCCTAGTAACAAAAAAAAAAAAAGTATAAATATATTCAGTTCTAAACTGTAATACATCTCATTTTTCTAAGCACCCACACTCCCCTCTTGAGTATGTACTGTACTTCGTATTTGCCTAATAAACCTTACTCATGTCTCTTCTTGACACACCCTGAAAATTCTTGTCCTATGACAGGAGTCAATGAGCCTGCTATAACAGGTTGATTTAAGTTTGGGAAATTCATAGACCCAGCCTAATGAGAGACAAACTGTATAAAAAAGATATCTATCTCCTAAGCCAAAGCTAAAAGTAATTTCAATTGAAGGAATAATGACCACTTCAATACTATTAGAGATAACAATGGCTTAATAAAGCTAAATAAAAAAAAAAGACAAGCAAGTTCAGTAGATGACTAACTGAAAAATCCAGAGGGTAATGGGAGAACCTTCTCTTCATAATTATGAATGTAAGTATGAGTTTGGGGTGGTGGAGATAAATATTTGTCAGAAAAGCTTTGCAATTTTTATTATGTTCTCTGTACCTCAGGGTTTGTTTTCTAAACTCTGTTGGTTTGAAATTTCAATGAAGAGTTTATCCAGTGGTGATTAGTCCCTGAGAAAAAATGGATTATGCTACATGAAATGGATGGATACCCAACAGTCCATTTAATAACTGACAATAAAAAAATAACTACTGAGCAGACTGATGCTTTCACTGTTGATTCAATGAATTCTTTATCCCAAAAGAAAGTCAAATTTTAGAAATCAAATGAAGATCATGCAGCTGGGTGATGATTGTATGAAATCAGAGCTAGAAAACAGCCTATGTCATCTATATATTCTTATCCACTGGTCTATGTGCCTATTCATTATAACAAACCTGGAAATTTATTATTCTACTGTCTCCCCAATCCTCCAATTTTAAATACTCCAAGGTGCTGTTTTACTTCTTTTAATTACATTAAGATTCATGTCAAAGCTCTCTGACTGCTCCAGTAGGGGCTAGTCTTTTAATACACTGGCCTTAGATTATAACCAATCGATGAGAAAGTATTTCTAACATAAAAGATGTATGCTGAGCAAAGTCCTTAGTAAAAAATAATCCTTTCATTAATTTCTATACTATTTGTGTCTTTATTTAAAGCAGAGTATTACGTTTATGACAGATTCTTCTATAGGAAGATGCAACTAAAATTTTAAATATAAAGGCTGGGGATTTAGCTCAGTGGTGCTGCCACCTGCCTTGCAAGCACAAGGTCCTAAATTCAATTCCCGGTATAAAAAAATTTAAATGTAGGAGTAAAGTTTCAAATATCCTTTAAAAATCTCAAGATTCTGTTATTAAAAAAATACTTCCTTAAACCATCTAGTGTTTTAAAAAGAAGAGTTTTCAAATATGAAATTACCACTCCTTTTTTTATAAACCCTTTATAACAGCTACAATGAATAGATGACTTAAATACTTTGAGAGGCATAATAAACACTGATTAATACTTGTTAAGAATACACAAATGAAAATTAATAAAAAGTAAAGCAGTAAGGAGTTCAACTGGCTTTAAGGTAATAATCTATTATTTCTCAGACTGATAAAAATTCTACATGCTGGCTTTGATATTCTGTCATCTAAATGTTATGTTTCTGGACAGCAGACTTTGTTTTTGTTCATTACTGTATGTAGCACTCAGTATAAATTTTAGCACAAAGCAAATAACTACTTTTTAAATGAATGGGTTATTGTAGAGGACAGGCCTTAAAATCTCACTATATATAATGACAGCAGCTAATATTTATTAAGTACTTCCTATGTTCTAGGCTCTACCTCAGAGCTTTAAAATGTTATCAGACATTAACTCATTTAAATCCATTTTAGTATTATCATTCTCATTTTACAGATGAAAAACTACACTGAGACTAAGTTACTTTCTCAAAGTCATTCCACTAAAGTGCAGGGGACATGATTAAAATCCAGGTACTCTGACTCCAGATCCCAGGGTCTTAAACTACAACCTCTTAATTACCTCTACTGGCATGTCCTCTAAACTTTACTACGATTTCATTTAGCTAACGAGGCTAAAATAACACAAGGATGGGAGGAGAAAAATAATAAAGTCATAAAAGACCAAATATAAAGTATTACAATGACAATGCTTTATTCTTTTTTATTGATATTTTCACTCAGAAAAAGTATAGTATAAGGGGAAGGGATTTAGCTCAGTGGCACAGTGCCTGCCTCTCAAACCCAAGGTCCTGAGAGTTCAATCCCTGGTATACCCCGCCAAAAAAACAGAAAGAGTATAGTATAATTAAACCTTTTTATTTCAGCGGCTTACTATTTAGCAAGCCTATATAATAATAATATCAATGATAAAGAATATGGTAATTAAATAGATGGATTAGGTAGAGGATCAACCATGAAGTTAGTGGATATTCTAAAATCTAAGTATATACAAGGGAAAACATCAACCTTCAAATACATATATCTAGGGCTGGGGATTTAGCTCAGTGGTGCCGCCTCCTGCCTCACAACTGCAAGGTCCAGAGTTCAATTTATTGAGGCTAGATTATATAATAAATAAGTTCCACCAATGTTATTTTAGAGAACTAAAATGATTAGGCTGACAATAATAACTTTTGTTCAATCATGAAATTTTGTTGACTGGTTGGCTAGTTTTACCCCAAAGAAAATCCATAGTTTTAGTCAGTGCATATGATTTGGCATTAGAATTTCAGTTAAATGCATTAATCAAAATATACTAGAATACGATGATCTTAAATACATATATCTTCTATGCAAGTAAAATCATTAACAAGAATTCCTAGTTACTTGTTATTTGCTCTTACCCCTTCTTTTGGGTCCGTATGTAGTCCTCCTCCTGCGTGACCATGCCAACATGTCCGCTTTTCTATCAGTGGCCATGCCTGCAAAGCCTATTCAAAATGATACCAATGAGTTTATTAGCTATTACAGAGTTTCAGATGTTTAAAAATAGTAGAGACTATCTACTGTAATGAATCCCCAAAACAAATTCAAAGGCATTTGTTTTTAGCTTGGCATAGTAAAGCCAAACAATTTCATAAATAGCTTAGAGCTAAATTTATAAGATGAATATTGAGATTAACAAATATTCATACAGAAATCACATTCTCTAAATAGCTTTTGAATTTAATGTTTAAATATTTAACTTGTATTATACTTTTATTTAACTTACAGTGGTGCTCTTATTGTCATTCACTACTACAGCGATGATAATCTGTTACTCTATTATTTACAAGCAAGGATAATATACAGTTAATTTATATCTCTCTTTCCTTCTGTATACATTTTTGCTTTACAATTAATACAGCTGATTTTACACAACCATTCCTCTTTCTTATTAACCTGGCTCACGTACATATTTAGAAACAGGTATTTTTAATACTTCACAGTCTGCTTATATTACAGTCACACACATTTTGTCTTTCGTATTACACAGTAAATTTCTTAAAATTAGAAACAATTATCCTTTGTCCTTTTGTCTCACATGGTATATTCCAATGTCTTAAATATATATGAAATGCAGATTTCAGTGCTTGTCGGATTAGCTTACAAAATAGTTATCTGCATATCTCCCCACTAGCCTCATCTACTATGATACAAGGCCTTAAATTTTTAAATGACCTTAAAATTACTGCTAAATTTACAGATATATAAAAATAAAATCATTTGACAAAATATAGGCAACAAGATAGTAATGATTATTTTTAATTTTAGGCTTACTAATATTGAAAGTTTTCACATTTAAAAACAAGGTGCACAAATTTAATGATGTTTTCAATAATTAGAATGATCAAGTATTAATGAACAATTCCTCACAAACACAATACCACACATAAAATTATCAGCTCAGGACCAGGCTACAAAAATGGAATTACAAAAGCAAAACTACCCTCTTGCTATCACCAGCTGAAACACAGAATTGCCATAAATGGGTTATTGATTGTGGATCAACAATCTTTTTTTTTTTTTTTTT